ATTGTCAGGAGGGAACAGTCACTGGAGAAGGATTTCATGCTGGGTAAGATGGAGGGTCAGAGAAAAAGAGGAAGACCCCTAACAAGATGGATCAGCCAGGTGGCATCATTGATGGCGTCAAGTGTGGCAGTGGTAGTGAGGTTGGCCCAGGATCTCACATTGTTTCATTCTGCTGTGCATGGGGTCGCTATGAGTCAGTTCCGACTCGATGGCACCTGACAACAACAACAACAACAACAACTTCACACAACAACAACTACAAAATACAATCATAATGGGTAATGATTCTTAAGTATGATATCATAGGACATTTACTGTTAAGTTTCAAATTTCTTTGCACTGACCATAATTTTCCACATATAAAATTCAGATGATTTTTTGGTGGGATTTAAAATAGCAGGTAATCAAAGATTCTTTTGTATCTACCATTTCTAATTTAGGAGTCTAGAGAATTGATCCAGCCTAGCGTTTCATGCCAAATAAAAGGAATACACCTGAGTCCATGTGCTTCACTTAATCAAGCTCCATAATCATTCAAGTCAGAGTTCAGAACAACAGTGATTTTCTTATAATTGATAAACCTTGACAGGGATAGACTCCTCTGAAAGTTACATGGTAAGCTTCTACTTTTAGGCAAGAAATGCCAAGGAAAATTCAAAGTAATGATGCTTTCTAAGTTGTGTATTCTTAGTGAGTATGCAGGAGTCCTGATATGGTGCTGTAGGATAATGCAATGGACGGCAAGGTCAGTTTGAACTGCAAGTTTGTTCAAACTCACCAGCTGTTCCTTGGAAATTCAATACAGGGTCTCTATGAGTCAGAACTGACTCAGTGACATTTAACAACAAACAACAAGTGAATATGGTAATGCACTAAGGTGTTAAAAAAATGTTGCTTTTGGGGAATGTGAATAATCTTAGATATTACAATTGTTTGGGGTCCTCCAAAGTTTAGCTATTATCAATGGAGAAAAGATTGAAGTTGTCAAGGACTTCATTCTTCTTGGATCAACTATCAACACTCACAGAAGCAGCAGTGAAGAGAACAAACGACGTATTACATTAAGCAAATCTGCTGTACAAGACCCTTTTAAAGTGTTGAAGAGCAAAGATGTCAGCTTGAGGACTAAGGTGCTCCTGACCCAAGCCATC